AACGTAACCCCGAGTACGTATTGATACTATGTACTGTGATGCTAATAAAGCACACCATAGTTGGGCGAAAGATAAGTCCTCATGATCCTAATGGAGTATGGGCTACAGATGTGCTACGTATACTTAACAATGTGATGCTATGACCCTTAGTCAGCGCTAACCATTAAACAAAGTAAAAGGGAATTTACCCTATCATAAGAGGATCGTGGTCTGTAACTCGATCACGTGAATAAGGAATTCCGAGTAATCGCAGATTAGTACGCTGCGGTGAACCTATACTTTAGGGAGGTACTAACTGTCCATCATGCAGTGGCCATTTTGAACACATTAATAACTACTAATAGGTAATATCTATATAGATACTATCATAATATAGTTAGAATGCTTAGGAGTTGCCTCTGTAAAGTTGTAGCAGGTTGCTGTAAGGGAACTTGTAGCTGTTATATAACTATTATGAACCCCTTTACTACTAAGTACATACCTGATTTTAACCCGCTAGTATAGTTTAATGGTAGAATTCGATACTTCCAATATCGCTATCTCGGTTCGATCCCGAGTACTAGTATTATATCCAGGCTTAATTAATTAATTACTACCCCCCTATGCTTATTATCGGTCTTATTTCTCTACTGATTGCCGTACCCCTATTCTCCAATGTTATTACACCCAGTCTAAATAGTCGGATTACTTCAATAGTTCTTATTTATGCTGCTCTACTATCCTTCAATGGTATCTATATTCAATCTATAGGAGCTGGAGTAGGTCTATATAGTGGACTATTCCAAACTAATGTCATTACTACTGGTATAGAAGGCTTTCTACTACTACTAGGTGCTATTATTATACTAAGTTGAGATAACAATAGTATCAAGAGTGACAGTGGTAGTCTAACTATTAATGAGTACTCACTTATTGTACTATTTACTGCTATTGGTAGTACCTTTCTTATTAGTTCCTATGATCTTATTAGTATGTACCTAAGTATTGAACTACAAAGCTTTGGTCTATATATCCTAGCTACTCTATATCGTAAGAGTGAATCTGCTACGGCAGCTGGCCTTAAATACTTTCTACTAGGTGGACTAAGTAGTGCTATTATTCTACTAGGTACTGCACTTGTTTATAGTTATACTGGCCTTACACAGTTTGAAAGTCTATATAGTCTAGTACTTATTAGTGGACTTGATTTCTATGTACAACCACTTATCCTAGGCTTTATCCTTATTACTATTGGTATACTATTTAAGGTAGGAGCTAGCCCTTTCCATAATTGAGCCCCTGATGTATATGATGGTGTACCTACAGTTGTAACAACCTGGCTAACAGTTATTCCTAAGATTAGTATCTTTGTATTCCTTGTACTACTACTTACTGGACTACAAGGTAGCTTTGAATCATTTAGTGTAACCATGATAGACAATAGTATTAATGTATGGAAGAACGTACTACTTATTAGTAGTCTTCTAAGTCTGGTTATTGGTACAGTTCTAGGTCTTAGTCAATATCGTATTAAACGACTACTAGCCTTCTCTACTATTAGTCATGTAGGGTTTATACTACTAGCACTATCAGTTAACACTATAGAGTCTATTGAAGCCTTCCTCTTTTATATTATCACTTATAGTATTACTAACCTTAACGCCTTTCTAATCCTACTTGCCTTTGGTTATATCATTAAAGCTCATAATACCCGGTCTAAGGATATTCAGTTTATCCATGAACTTAAAGGACAGTTTAACTATAATAATGTACTAAGTCTTAGCCTAGCTCTATGCCTATTTAGTATAGCTGGTGTACCTCCACTAGTAGGGTTCTTTGCTAAACAAATAGTACTGTATAGTAGTACACATGCAGGTTACTACTTTATAAGTCTAGTAGCTATCCTAGTAAGTGTTATCAGTGCTAGTTATTATCTTAAGATTATTAAGGTACTATACTTTGATACACCTGAAGAAGGTACTGACTCACCAGTAGTTAATATTACAACACTACATAGTACAATAATTGCTATACTAAGCCTAGCTATGACCTTTTTTGTACTTCAACCTACTACCCTACTAAATAGTTGTCAACTACTCTGTCTTAGCCTCTACTACTATTAATGAACGCTATCATCATCTTTCTAATCTTTATTCCTATCCTAGTAGTAATCCTACTTATGGTTAATCTACTACTAGCTGTACATAATCCTGACTCAGAAAAGGTTACACCTTATGAATGTGGATTTATACCTTTTTATGGTCAAACCCGGTCACAATTTAGTATTCAGTTCTACCTAGTAGGTCTACTGTTCATAGTATTCGATATTGAAATTCTCTTTCTATACCCTTATGCTGCTGCTATAAGTACAGTTAGTCTATACGGTTTCTGGGTAATAATGATCTTCTTTGTTATACTAACCATTGGCTTTATCTTTGAAATAGGATCTGGTGCTCTATACTTTACTGAAAACCGTTCTTCTATTACTACTCCTAAGGTAAACTAGGTACTTCCCTTATAGGTTGATAGATACTACTCTATCCATGTTTCAAACAGGGCTAGGCCCATTCACATTTATGACAACCATAGATATCCCGTGAAGTCCTCAGTGTAGAGGCACTATAATCAGTTAACACTAATGAATAAGAAACCCTTTGGTAACGTATATACTAATAGTACTAGTTACTCATATAATCAAGCTGATACTATACATAATAACTATAGTGAAATTATAGTACGTACACTACTAGCTTCTATTTTTAAAGACCTATGTTATAAAGTAGTTAATAGTCAATCTACTACTACTAGCTATAATAATGCTCTAATGGGAGAACCTAAGTTTACATACTCATCTAATGGAGTTACTGTAATTGTACCTTACTACAGCTCTAATGAAGTACCTAATAACTCAACAATGATTACTAAAGCTATTAGCTCAACTATTAGTAAAGTGTATGGTAACCACCTTACTACAACTGTAGTACTCCAACAGGTACTATACCCTTATATAGATAGTAAAATCCTGGCACAATACATCTCTCTAAATACTACAGTAGGTACATTTCTAAGTATCAAGAAGACCATTATAGGATTTCTTAATATCAAGTATAGTCAACTACCAACAGGTATCTCTGGTATTAAGGTTATAATCAGTGGGCGACTTACAACAGAAAAAGTGGTCCCACGTAAGACTAGTAAATCATTTACCCTAGGTTCTATAGCTGATCCTATAATCAATGGTAAAACACACCAAGTAGACTATGCTAAGGTAACCCATAAGAATAAACTAGGTCACTATACTATTAAAGTATGAATTGCTCAACTTACCTAAGTTCAATCCCTTTGAAGAGAGCCATTATACTATGGTAACCTATAGATGAAGTAATACTAGCACTAGCTCTGTATAGGTATCAATTACAATATAGAGTATTAGACTAAGTGATTAAAGAGGTCATTAAGGATGTCTAGCTAGCGCCTTGGAAAGGAAGCAATAGTCCCCATACGACTTTAAATATGTGGACACTCCTATAGTAAACTAACATAGGTAAGGTATTGTCTAAATTAGAACAGTATAAACTATCTATAATGTACACGCTGGGAACTAAATCATTATAGTACCAGTAGGAAAGGAAACCAACCGAGACTCCGGTAGTAATGGCGAGTGAACCCGGATTAGCTTAACTGTAGACTGTGGTAAGTTGAAGGCTCTGGAAAGTGTCTATACAGTACTACTATGCTGTGCCATAGAAGGTTATAGCCCTGTCTACCTACTACTATACAGTAACAATAAGTAAAATGAGGACGGCAGCCTTGTTTGAATTAGGGGGTACCATCCTCCAAAGCTAAGTATAAGGCGTTATAGCAATAGTAAAGAGTAATGTGAATGAATGATGAAAAGCAGGTAGATGACCGTTGAAACAGATCCTGAATTAGTGACCTTATAAGCAATGGAAGCTCATATCAAAGAGTTACCGTGTACCTTTTGCATAATGGGGTGCTTCAGGCCCAAAACGTTTATTAACGTAGTCCTAGTTTACCATAATTGACTAGAATGTCTTGACAAAGATATTGAGAGGCTCTATACGAGTACTCTTGGCGATGCAGGTGTTAACGGTTAAACGAAAAGTCAATAGTAAGACCGTCGGTCAATAGTATAATTTTATTGATCGCTACAGACTGGGTCACCTGTGGCAGTATTAATATATTGTTAATGTACAGTCGAAGGAGAGTAACCAATAATTATGGATGACTTAGTATACCATAGTACTTTTCTTGAGCAAGTTCTTCTAAATAGCAAGGCGTATAGCCATAGTGAAAGCGACCTATTATTGGTATAGTTAACTAGAAGAGACCCGAAACCAGGTGATCTAACCATGGCCAGGCATATAAAGTGGCCGAACCTATTAATGTTGCAGAATTATGGGAAGAGCTGTGGTTAGTCAGTGAAAGGCTAATCTAACCTGGTAATAGCTGGTATTCCGTGAAATCTATCTTAGTAGAGCACCAGTACTAACACTATCGTATGTACAGCACTGATAATCATACCTAATAGTATTATACTATGTTAAATTGGGGGGTCTTATACCCTACCATTGGTTATTAACCTCGGAAGGACGATAGTCAATAACTGGTAGACAGTCTATCCATGATAAGGTGGTTAGACAAGAGGGAAACAGCCCACAACATGAGTTAAGGTCCCTAAGTAATAATTGAGTGAAATAAAGAAAGTCCTTACCCTATTACGATCTTTAGGTAAGCTTGGAAGTAGCTACCTTTTAATGAACGTTTAACCACGCAAAGAACTAAGGGTAGAGGCGTCTAAAATTTATCGGGTCTACATTATTCACCTACACCATGTCTTTAAGGGTAACGGAACATTCAGTACTCTATGAACGTTAGGTTGTGCTTGACTGGAGGGTACTGAAGAGAGAATGCTACCATGAGTAACGTATAAAGAGGGTATAATCCCTCTCGCCGTATACGATAGGTTTTCTAAGGATAATTTAATATACCTAGACTTAGGCGGTCTCTAAGGTTAACCATGAATATGATAACTGATGAGTATGTACTGAACCATCTACTACTTAGTAGATCAAGAAAATCAAGTACACTAAATCAACCGTACTTAAACCGACACAGGTTCGTAGGTAGAGTATACCAAGGCGTAGAGCTAACACTCCTTAAGGAACTCGGCAAAATGTGTCCGTAAGTTCGACGATAAGGATAACCATAGCTTATTAACCAATTACAAGGTATATTTAAGACTATGTGTGCCACATAAACGTGAGCTGCGACTGTTTACCAAAAACACAGCTACCTGCTAAGACGTATAAGAGTACTTGTATAGGTAGTGAACTCTGCCCAATGCCTCATAAAGTAAGGAAGGTTATCCTTTAGTAGGGTAATTAACTGATACGAGGTGAATGGCGGTCTTAACTATAAGGATCTGAAAGTAGCGAAACTCCTTGGCTATTAAATGTAGTCCTGCATGAATGAGGTAACGTGGCTCAGCTGTCTCAAGGAGTGGCTCAGTGAAGTTGGAATAACCGTGCAGATACGGTTTACCTTCAGATAGACAGGAAGACCCTATACAGCTTTACTGTAGCTTGATGTTGACGTCGTAGTTACTAGGTGTAGCATACAAGGGAGAACTTAGTTCAATAGTGAAATACCTTGACTAGTATATTACGGTATCTAATCTATATATAATAATGGTATAGTATATTTACCTAAAGAGACATCATCAAGTGGTCAGTTTTACTGGGGCGGTATTCTCTAACATAGTATCAGAGAACTACAAAGGTATGGTTAAATTGTTCACAAATCAATAGGTTATGTAAGACCTTACAAAGTGTAATGATGAACCATGCTTGACTATAAGACTGATGGGTCGAGTAGCTGCGCAAGCAAGTCATAGTGATCCGGTGATACTTTATGGTATGGTCACCGCTCAGGAGATAAAAGTTACGTTAGGGATAACAGGTTAATCGTTGCCAAGAGTTCACATTGCCGCAACGGTTTGACACCTCGATGTCGACTCATCGCATCCTCTTGGTGTAGTAGCTAAGAAGGGTTCGGCTGTTCGCCGATTAAAGCGGTACGCGAGTTGGGTTAATTGAGCCCACAAATATAATTGGTAATAATTGCAGGAAGTAAACCATTAATAACCTGCATCGGGTAAATACTATTAGTAACCCCGTTCAACGACTACTAAGTGAACACTGTCTGTAATAATCTTAGCCCGAGTACCAACAATCAATAAATTGAAGAGATAGTCTAAACAATACTGTATACCTCATGATTAACCTAACCATATAAGATCATGTGTACCTATTGAACTAGTTAGTCCTAGTTAAACTATAAGTCAATACGACGTGAGTCAGTATGGTCCTTATCTTCTGAAGGTAACAATAACCAAAGGGGTACCTGTGCCTAGTACGAAAGGACCGGTGTTGGGTAGTTCTATAATGTATCTATTGTTATATGGGTATTATCCCAGTAGCATAGTAGAGTAGTTACAACTATGATCGATAAGTACTGAACGCATATTAAGTACGAAGCTCCACCCTAGAGGTTATTAGAAATGTGATAGAGACTATGTCACACGTATAGGAGGCATATGTACATACAGTAATGTATTAAGTATAGCCTTACTAATTAATTGATTAACTTGGTCTAACTATATTGTATAACCTTCAAGGTAACTATTTATTATATATACTCATAGTAACTTAACTTATTAAACAGACTGATGGCCTAATGGAAGGGCGCTCACTTTGGGAGTGGGAGGTGGAAGTTCGATTCTTCCCAGACTGACATCTATAGGGTGCTATAGCGTAGTGGTTACGCAGTGTACTGTTAATGCATGGCCTTAGTCCAACGAAAGTTCGATTCTTTCTAGCACCTAGTATTCTACTATAGGTTAGATCTTAATAGACATACTTATAGCCTCTATAGCTCACTATTGGTTAATACCTATCTTATACTCCAGTACCCTTATAGGTCTATGAATGAGTACCCTATACTAATATTAACTATGAACTTTATCCTTGATTTTCTAGCACTAGGTGCCATGTTCTCAGGTATTCTAGTTATTACTAGTAAGAACCCTGTTATCTCAGTACTTTTCCTTATCTCAGTATTTGTATTTGTAGCTGGTTACCTAGTAATGCTTGGTGTTGGCTTTATTGGTATCTCCTACCTTATTGTATACGTGGGTGCTATTGCTATCCTCTTTCTATTTGTTATTATGATACTTAACCTACAACTGGCTGAGCTTAGCGGAACTGAGTATACTCAAAACCTTCCACTAGGCTTTATTGTTGGTAGTCTATTTCTATTTGAACTAAGTAGTAATATACCGAAGACCTTCATTGATGCTAGTCTTAACTCTATAGACAACATTACTGCACTATTCAATAATCTGAGTCTAGGCGTGTTCCAATGGTTCAACTCACTGATCCTAGGACTTGATAAGACAACTGATATCTACCTTACATTCAATCCTATAGCTGCTGACATTCATTATACTAGCTATCTACAAATTCATAGTCTAGGACAAGTAGTATATACTAATGCTGCTATGTGACTTATCCTTACTAGTGTTATCCTTATACTATCAATAGTAGGCCCTATTACCCTATCAATGAATAAGAAGTTGATTCCCTTAACAACTGGCACGGCACCCTATAGGTAGTACCTTGTCCTTAATTCAACGGTTAGAATATGCTGCTGATATCGGTAATATAGTGGTTCGATTCCACTAGGACAAAATATATAAGGCCTCCATATAGCTTATGTGTTACTCTATATGCCAACGAAGTCATAAAAAGGTCCCAGTTTCTAATAATTACATGTTACTTACTATAACTTATGCTTACCCATACTGACTTTAAACTACCCTTTAACTATTACTATTACCATCCTGGCATTACTACTATGTATGGCTACAATCTATTTGCCAACGAAGTCATTAAAAGGTCCCAGTATCTAATTATTACATATACTACTACTACTCCCTTATAGGTAACTACTAACAGTATTCTATTATACTCTAGCCTATTAGGCAACCATGCTTTATCAATACACTCCTACTGTTCTCTATAGGTTGCTACATCTACAATTATACACCTACCTTAAACATAGCTTATACGAAGGGTCTTATCCTATTCATCCGCATCATACTATGTACTACGGTTGAAGCCTTAAGCATCGTTATTATTTGTACCCCACGTACCTACAGTAACTAATACTAATATTACCTATGCGACTACTTAAAACACACCCTATTCTGGGTCTAGCTAATAGCTTCCTTATTGATTCACCTCAACCAGCTAACCTTTCATACATGTGAAACTTTGGTAGCCTACTAGGTGTATGTCTTATTGTACAAATCCTTACTGGTGTATTCCTAGCTATGCACTATTCTAATACAGTAGATCTAGCCTTCATTAGTGTTGAGCATTAACTCTCTCTTATGTGCTCATTAAACCCTGTTATATGCTGAAAACCTATATTAACTAGCAATCAGCAGGTTACCTTTTATGGACCTCAGAGACTAATACAGGGCTTCTATCCTTATGGAAGAAGAAGATATAGTCCAAAATCAACCAATACTGCCCAGGCGAGCGATTATGCGAGATGTAAACTACGGCTGGCTTATCCGATACCTACATGCTAACACAGCTAGCTTCTTTTTTATTTTTGTATACTTCCACGTTGGACGAGGTCTTTACTACGGTTCATACAAATCACCACGTGTAATGGTTTGGTCTATTGGTGTTATTATACTAATTCTAATAATGGCTATTGCGTTTCTGGGATATGTACTTCCCATGGGACAGATGAGTCTATGGGGAGCTACTGTTATTACTAACCTACTTAGTGCTATTCCATGAATTGGTCAAGACTTTGTTGAATTTGTGTGAGGTGGTTTCTCCGTTAACAATGCTACACTTAACCGGTTCTTCTCTCTTCACTACCTACTACCTTTTGTACTGGCAGCTCTAGCTGCTATGCATCTACTAACTCTACATGAACATGGTAGTAGTAACCCTCTAGGTGTTAGTGGTAACACGGACCGACTACCTTTCCATCCTTACTTTACCTTCAAAGACCTAGTTACTATTATATTCTTTTTCCTAGCCCTGGCACTGTTTGTTTTCTATATGCCTAATGCTATAGGTCATAGTGATAACTACATCCCCGCAAACCCAATAAGTACTCCTGCTTCGATACTCGCACGTCTCTATAGTATATTAATTATAGTACCATAGGGTTAATTTCAAGGACCTTACCCTACTTGAAGCCAGTCTTAATACGTTTAAGAGGGTCCAACGACTAATAGCTGCTTTAGCTTACACGAATACCCTACAGCAATCTAACTGAACTGCTGATTACATAGTCTAGTTAATATTATTATTACAATACCTTACTGTGTGCCTGAGTGGTACCTACTACCATTCTATGCTATCCTACGATCTATCCCTAATAAACTACTAGGTGTAATTGGTATATTTATGAGCCTACTTATTCTACTAGCTATGCCTATCCTTGATACTAGCCGAGTACGGGGTATCCAATTCCGTGGTATTGCTCAGTTTTTCTTTGGTACTTTCCTGGTTTGCTTCTTTATTCTGATGTTTATTGGTTCTCAGCATGTCGCCGAGCCTTTTACGACCGTCGGTACTATCGCTACAGTTTACTACTTTGCTTACTTCATTGTAGTAGTACCAGCTGTTGGTATTATTGAAAACACACTAATGGATATTGCCCTAGACAAGTCTAGTAAGTCATTGTTAGTTTCTCCCTTATCTATGAACTTTTATATTGACTTCAACTATGTGATGCCGTTCGTTTGCTTCATTATTATGCTACTGCCTGTATTTACCCTTATGGGCCTTGTTATCTCCAATAACATACGGGTTCGAATCTTCAGTATAAACGAAACCACCTTCCCGGGCCTAGTACCTATAGCAAAGGGGTTCTTTAACCTAGTATGCCTAGCTCTACCAAAGGGAGTGTTTAAGCTAGTATGTCTATCTTTTCCATACCCTCTATGTACCCTTTATAACCTACTTTATATTGGCTTTCTAGAGGTGTACAGCCGCCTACTACTGGTTTACCCAACTATTAAATACCTAGTTAAACAAAACCTACTAGTTATTAGTATCTGCCTTATCCTGTACTTTGTACCTTGTGTACATGAGTGGCTTCATGCTCTGGCAGACGCTACCAATGCTTGTTATGAGTCTTGAGCTACCCTACTAAAATCAACAGTCACTGTATATGCTATTAACCGTGTGTTTACCCGGCCTAAGATTACCATTACATATTTTCACGATTTCTGTCCTTACGAGGGTCGGTATATAGGTACTTACAATCGGTACCATTCATGACCAACCCAGGCCCTGCTTCGGTCCAATGCTCGTAAAGGTATTGTTTATGTTGGCTATGGCCGGTGAGTCCCCGTTAGTCTAGACCCTTATGAAATAGCGTGATTTGGCTATATGTCTCGGTACCTACCCCGTGATTATATCTACTATGACTTCTTTGAAGAGTATGAGTACCGTATGGGTAACCATCTTAAAGTTATACAACGCCTTCTAGGAGTACCTTCATGTGTAGTACCTTGGACTGGTCAGGTAAAATGAACTATCATCAGTATAGCTATTGGACTTGGTCTAACCGCACTATACCTTTGTCTATCCGCACTATATCTGGTTGCTATATCTATACTATCACTAATCTTCATAATAATGTACATAACGTGTGCTGCTCTGGGTCTGCTTTATATTGGTACTGTAGTTACTAATGTGCTGTGGCCTATAGTACAACCTATTATGGCTATGGTTGATCAAGTGGGTATTTGAACCATTGGTACCTGTGCCTTTGTATTCATCATAAGTACCCTATGCCTATTCAATTACTCTACCAAGGTCTCCAATTCTGACTCAGAGTCCGGTTATGACTCTGGTGTTGATATTGATATAGAAAGTACTGGTAGTAAAGTCCCTGTAGGCCCTCCTGATACTGAAATAGGTTCTATTCGAATGGGTAACAAGTGGGTACCTATTAGCCGTGGTCATATTCGAGCTATGTATCAAGAAACATACGATCGTGGGCTACCATCTAACTTCAACCATACAGTATTCCAACAAATCGCTAATGGACTATTCCAGGCTGAGGGGTTCTGAGGAGGTAACTTTCCACGTCTTGTTAACTATGCCTTTAACGTACGATGGAGTGTGTCCCAAAATGCCAACCCAGACAGTATTAAATTCCTTACTGCTCTACAACGTATCCTAGGTGGGCCTGATTTCATCAAACACCGATTCCGTGTAGTTGACAATGGTCATTGGCATATCACTATCCACTGTAATATTTGGGCACATATCATTAATGTCATTATGCCTTACTTTAATATACTCCGGGGTGAAAAGCATACTGCTATAAATAAACTTCGTACTATACGTAACCTACTAGACATACCTATACATAGCCCTGAGGTCATTGTTAACATTGTTTGACTAGTGTATAACCTTACCACAGGAGGCCAAGACCGTAAGGTCTCTTTTGAGGATAAACTAAGCCATGTTATGGCCACTCACCCTCCTATTAACACAGTTCATGATAAGTTTGACTTTGACAACACTATACCACTTACCCTTCCTTGGGTACTAGGGTTCTTTCTTGGTGATGGAGCACTGTACTGAACTATAGGTATCAACCGAAACTCCTTTAATGCTATCCCTCATCTTACTATTGGTCAACGTTCAACTCCTAATAACACGGCCATACTTGATGAAGTTGCAGTATTCCTTAATAGCCTGGGCATCAAGGCTAATGTAGTAACCAAGGAGTACCGTGATAGTAAGGAACTAGGTATTCATAACCAGGTACACATCACTACGTGTCTTAATCTACTCAAGCCTTACTCCGACTTCTTCTACTGGAAAGCCTCTAATATTGCTACTACTACTAAGGTACTCTACCTACTTAAGTTTGGTGTCCACCTTTGGCTACCTATGATGCTTATAATCTCTGAGCTGATTCACTCACTACCCACTACAAACCGTGGTGCCAGTAGTAAGCATAAATGAGAACTGGCCCTACGTGCCTTTATTGATTCACGTGGTGCTGAAGTAAGCTCAGGGTACAACTATATCTACTGGAAAGATAACCGTCAACGGTATGATGTGATCATTCCCAAGAGCACTGGTATCAAGCCTCGGGAGGTATCCTTCACTGTAGCCAAGAACGGCAATAAGGAAAAAGCACTCTCTACTGCCATTGAATACCGAGAGACTACCCTAACCACGTGGTTTACTAAGGTTCTCAAAGAGTATGATGAGACTAATCCCTTAATATCCGTACGTGGAACTGAGGAACCCTAGCAACTGTATATTACTTTGCTTACTTTATCATTATTGTACCAGCTGTTGGTATTATTGAAAACACCCTTATGGATATTGCCCTTGACAAGGCTGATAAGTCATAGGTTGTCTATTCCCTTACTACACTTAATCTTATATAGGTATACATATATACATGCCATAGGGAACTTAGCATAATTGGTAATGTACTAGATTGTCATTTTAGTGGATGATGGTTCGAACCCATTAGTTCTCGGCTTATAGGACTGCAGTCCTCCATTGACCTTAATACACTCTATAGGCATCGCCGACGCGGCACCTTATAGTAGCTGTACAAACCATCCTAGAGTACCTTATTGCTCATACTCTCCAAAAACTAATAAAGAAACGTGTAGTTACTGTATAACCTCTTACTACCTATGATTTTTTATCTTATGAACCTAAGTATTGTACTATTCCTTATTGGTATTCTGGGCTTTGTCCTAAACCGTAAAAACATTATCCTTATGCTTATCAGCATTGAAATCATACTACTATCAGTTACCCTTATGGTCCTTGTTAGCTCTTATAGCTTCGATGACATACTTGGTCAAACCTATAGTATCTATATTATTGCTATTGCTGGTGCTGAGTCCGCTATTGGTCTTGGTATCCTAGTAGCTTATTACCGACTACGTGGATCTATTAGTCTTAATTCTTAGATGTTCCTAACCCTACTACTACTACCTATTCTAGGTAGCTTTACTGCTGGTTTCCTAGGTCGTAAAATCGGTGTAACTGGTACACAACTAATCACATGTACCTGCCTTATTACATCAGCCCTACTGGCACTAACTGCCTTCTATGAGGTAGGAATATGTAACAACCCTATTACTATTAACCTTATTAGCTGAATTGACTCTGAGCTTATAGATGTATCATGGGCCTTTATGTTTGATAGCCTTACCGTTAGTATGCTTCTACCTGTACTAGTTGTTAGCTCTCTAGTACATATCTTTAGTATTGACTATATGAGCAGCGACCCCCATATTCAACGGTTCTTTAGCTACCTAAGTATGTTCACCTTCTTTATGCTAGTACTAGTAACAGGTGATAACTATCTTATTATGTTTGTCGGTACCATTCCTCCTCAGCCGACACTATTAAATGTCACTATATGCTAAGACACCTATGGTTGAAGTACCCAGTGTTAAAACCTTCAATCCTTTAACTAGGCTATTATGCAGGTATACTTAATTATAAGCACCTCAGAGACTACACGTGACACACTCAGTTAAGTGAAGAAAGAGTCCATTAAACCCCTCAGGTACGCTTTGTTATAACGTGAGAAGGAATCGGTATCTCATCATTCCTACTTATTAACTTCTGGTTTACTCGTATCCAGGCTAACAAGAGTGCTATTAAAGCCCTAGTAGTTAACCGTGTTGGTGATATGTTCCTATCTATTGGTTTCTTCGCTATCTTCTTTGTCTATGGTAATCTTGACTATAGTACAGTATTTAGCCTATCACCTAGTATTAACGAAGACTCTATTACTATTATTGGTCTACTACTACTATTTGCAGCTATGGGTAAAAGTGCCCAACTAGGACTACATACATGGCTACCTGATGCTATAGAAGGCCCAACACCTGTTAGTGCTCTAATTCATGCTGCTACACTAGTTACTGCTGGTGTATACCTTGTACTACGATCATCACCTCTAATTGAATATGGTACGACGACCCTTATTGTTATTACCTGGGTAGGTGCCCTTACAAGTTTCTTTGCAGCCAGTACGGGACTACTACAGAACGATCTTAAACGTGTTATTGCCTACAGTACTTGTTCACAAATAGGTTACCTATTCATGGCCTGTGGCCTATCACAATATGAGAGTGCTATCTTCCACCTAGTTAACCATGCTTTCTTTAAAGCTCTACTATTCCTTGCAGCTGGTGCTGTACTACATGCTGTATATGATCAACAAGATATACGACGACTAGGAGGTCTACTAGGTTTCATACCTTTTACATACACTGCTATTCTTATTGGTAGCCTTAGTCTTATAGCTGTACCATACCTTACTGGTTTCTATAGTAAAGACCTTATTCTAGAGCTTGCCTTTGCTCAGTACGAGTTTAAGAGTACCGCTGCTTACTGGCTTGGTACCATTAGTGCTAGTCTTACAGCCTTCTATAGTATACGACTAATTAGTATAACGTTCCTTACCTATGCTAATGCTAATAAAATAGTATATAATAGTGCTCATGACCCAGCTGTTATTGTTATAATCCCTCTAGTTATTCTAAGCTTTATAAGTATTGCCTTTGGGTACCTTGCTAGTGACCTATACGTTGGTATTGCTAGTGATTTCCTAAGTACTAGTCTATTTACACACCCTAGCCATGTTACTATAGTTGAAGCTCATTTTGGACTACCCCTAATATTCAAACTACTACCTATGATTGTTACTATTATTGCGTCTGTACTTGCTATCTATCTATATCATATTGTACCTACTTACCTAGTTGGTCTAACCAATACTAAAATAGGTTATAATCTATACAAGTTCTTTAATGGTAAGTATCTAGTTGATGTTATCTATAACCACTATATCATTTATGCGGGTCTTAAAGCAGGTAACCTTATTAGTCTTAAACTAGACCTTGGTCTTATTGAACTACTGGGCCCTCATGGACTAAGTACATCACTACAGTCAAGTAGTAAGACAGTCAGCCTTATTGATACTGGTAGTGTACAAAACTATGCTCTATATATTATAGTAGCTAGTGTATCTATCATTTTTGTTGTATTTACTCAAGTACTATTTAGTTACTCTATTGTTCTAAGCCTAGTACTAATGGTAACAGTGGTTAGTATGCTTCTAACTATATAATCCTCCCCTTTGCTATAGTATATGGTATTCTTTAATAAGGGTAACGAACGAACCCTATTGAACTATAAGTAAACTGGGACCTTTTCTATTCTTATACTAGTTGTTATACCTATGCTAACCCTTACTATAATTCTTCCTAGTCTAGGTGCTCTAGGTCTTATAACTTATCAAGGTTCTAACTACTATACGGTACTACGTATGAAGCGATTTGCTCTTACTGTATCTATTATTACATTCATCCTTAGTATTGTACTATGACTAGAGTTTGACTCTTCAACTAGTGACTATCAGTACACAGCAACCTACATAAAAGGTGTAGTATCCTTTAGTAACTTTACTATTGGACTTGATGGTATTTCACTATACTTTGTACTACTTACTACCTTCCTACTACCTATTTGTCTACTTAGTAACTGAAGCAACATTGACTCTAATACTATTAAGTACTACCTTATTTCTTTCCTTATACTAGAAACACTACTTATTGCTGTATTCTCAGTACTAGACCTTATCCTATTCTATATCTTTTTTGAGAGTGTACTTATTCCACTATTCCTTATTGTAGGTGTATGAGGTTCTGGTAACAATACTATACGTATCCGTGCTGCCTTTCTACTATTCCTCTATACACTGTTTGGGTCCCTGTTTATGCTTATTGCCTTCATAGTTATCTATTATAACGTAGGTTCTAGTGACTTTCAAGTTATCAGTCTTCATGATATTAGTCTAGAGGCCCAACAGTACCTATGGATTGGTATTTTTATTAGTATAGCTATTAAGACACCTCTAGTACCTGGTCATATTTGGCTACCACGAGCTCATGCTGAAGCCCCTCTAGCTGGTTCAATTATTCTAGCTGGTATTATTCTTAAACTTGCTCTATATGGTTATATACGTATTATACTACAGTTTCTACCTGATGCTTCTCATTATTATGCTCCACTTATTCAAACGTTTGCTGTGATTACTCTAGTATATGCGAGTCTAGCGACTCTACGACAGACCGATTTTAAAGCACTAGTAGCCTATAGTAGTGTAGCTCATGCTGCAACAATAGTACTTGGAGTATTTAGTAATACAGTACAAGGTATTGAAGGTGCTATCTTCCTTGGTATTGCTCATGCTTTTGTAAGCCCAGCTCTATTTATTCTAGTTGGTGGTGTACTATACGATCGTTACCATAGTCGTATTATTAAGTATTACCGAGGTCTAACTACTTATATACCTATGTTCTCAGTATTCTTCTTTGTATTCTCTATTAGTAATGCTGCTGTACCTCTTAGTGCTAACTGGCTAGGAGAATTCCTTTGTCTAACTGGTATCTTCCAAAAAAACCCTATTATATGTCTACTAGCTGCTAGTGGTATTGTACTTAGTGCTGCTTATAGTATTTGGCTATATAACCGTATTGCTTTTGGTGCTCATAGTTGCTACCTAGGCTATACTACAGATATCAATAGTCGAGAATTTATACTACTACTACCTCTACTTATTATAACAGTTGTACTTGGTGTATTTCCTAATGTAGTACTTAATAACCTACATGCTAGTGTAAGTAACCTTATCTACTTTACATAGGTATTCCCTTATCTATAGGTATCCTTAGGTAATTCTAGCTCACCAGGTAGAGCATTGATTTGTGGATTCAATTGATTCGGTTCGAGCCCGAAGTCTTACCCCCCCATGTACTAACGTTCTTAACATATAGGAAGACCAGTTATATTAATATTAAATAGTACCCTACTAAGGAAGGTCAGGGGTTATCACTATGTATTTACTCTTAGTATTGACGAAAGTCAAGGTAATATCACAGTAACTAATTATTATGAAATTTAATCCAATACATAACCATACTATTATAGTATATCTATAGTTAATATATTAACATAATCCTGCCTATACTTAACTGGTCTTATTGCTGAAATAGGCTAACCGGTTAAACCTAACCATTCATACTGGTTTATAGTGGGTTCGAGTCCCGCTTTCGGCTTTATAGGCAAATTTACGCGCTTTGGTGTAGTGGTCGCACAGCAAGCTCATGACTTGTTAGACCAGAGTTCAAACCCTGGAATGCGCATTATACATTATCTGAGGTCTCTTAGTTTAAAGGTAAAACCGTTGATCTTCATTCCACTATTAGGAGTTCGAGTCTCCTAGAGATCATTAATAAAAGAATACTACCTAGTAAGTCGACTTAGTTTAGTGGTAGAATAAGTAACTTGTAATTACTTGACACTAGTTCGATTCTAGTAGTCGGCAAACAAAATCAACTATAGGACGTCGTCTAACGGAAAGACACTATGTTTTGGCTGTAGTAATGATTGTTCAATTCAATCCGTCCTAGATACCTCTCTTACACAATAACTACTACTATTTACTAAGAGTTACAGGGCTCGAACCTGTCACCAGTTGATTAAAAGTCAACTACTCTACCTACTGAGTTAAACTCTCTTATAGGTTACCCTATATACATATACTTAAGGACAAACTTACTATAGGCGCGGTGTGGGCGATTGCTAATTGCCTGGAATATTAACTTCCATAGGAGTTCGAATCTCCTTTTGTCCGATCATAATGGTACTTAGCTTTTCTATAGGTTACATAATCACTACTTACATATACAGTTTCCCATTAATGTACTATGGTTTATTGGCTGCGATTATAGCTAATCCCTTAGTATACTATAGCTATATGTTCGCGTAGGTAAGAACCCGACTATACTTATATCCCCTTATTCCAACTATTGTTGACGAACCTTAACCAACCGTATACGCCGTTATTAATACCTATTATATATATTTAATTTATTATTGTTTACCTACCTATCTTTTGATCCGTTGGCTGTTCTCCACTAATGCGAAGGATATTGGGACCCTCTATCTTATCTTTGCCGTGTTTGCAGCTATAATTGGTACAGCTTTCTCTATGCTTATTCGTATAGAACTTACTGCACCTGGTGTACAATATCTTAATGGAGATCATCAAACCTATAATACTATTATTACAGCACATGCCTTTGTTATAATCTTCTTTATAGTTATGCCTGCTATGGTAGGTGGCTTTGGTAATTACCTTGTACCTGTTATAGTTGGAGCCGCTGATATAGCCTTCCCACGACTTAATAATATTAGTTTCTGGCTACTTCCACCTTCACTTATCCTACTACTAGCTAGTGCTTTTGTTGAACAAGGTGCTGGTACAGGTTGAACAGTATATCCACCTCTTAGTACACTTCAAAGCCATTCTGGAGGATCAGTAGACCTAGCTATCTTTAGTCTACACCTAGCAGGTATTAGTTCTATGCTAGGAGCTATAAACTTTATTACTACAGTACTTAATATACGTAACCCTGGTATAACACTACATAAGCTACCACTATTCTGTTGGGCTATTTTTGTTACAGCTATTCTACTACTACTAAGTCTACCTGTGCTAGCTGGTGCTATTACTATGCTTCTAACTGATCGTAACTTTAATACATCATTCTATGACCCAGCGGGAGGTGGTGATCCAATTCTATACCAACACCTATTCTGGTTCTTTGGACACCCTGAGGTATATATCCTTATTATTCCTGGCTTTGGTATGATTAGTCATATTGTTAGTGCGTTCTCAGGTAAACCTGTATTTGGGTATCTAGGGATAGTTTATGCTATATTCTCTATTGGAATTCTGGGATTCATTGTTTGGTCTCACCATATGTATGCTGTGGGCCTTGATGTTGATACTCGAGCATACTTCACAGCAGCCACTATACTAATTGCCATCCCTACTGGTATTAAAATCTTCAGTTGGATTGCTACTCTATACGGCGGTAGTCTAATGATAACAACACCTATGCTATTTGCTCTTGGGTTTATTGCTCTATTTACTATTGGTGGTCTTACTGGAGTTGTACTAGCTAATGCTTCACTAGATGTAGCACTACATGATACTTACTATGTGGTAGCTCACTTCCATTATGTACTATCTATGGGTGCTGTATTTGCACTGTTTGCTGCCTTCTACTACTGAGCACCTAAAATCATTGGTAAGACCTTTAACGAAAGCCTGGGACGAGTACACTTCTGGACACTATTCGTAGGTGTTAACCTTACATTCTTCCCTCAACATTTCCTAGGTCTACAAGGTATGCCTCGACGTATCCCTGATTACCCTGATGCCTTTGCTGGATGAAACCTAGTTAGTTCTTTTGGTAGTATGATTAGTGTTATTGCTACGGTACTATTTGGTTATATTATCTATGATATCCTAGTATATGGTAAACCAGTTATTGGTAACCCTTGGCTTAAACCTAGCTACTTCCAAGGTGCACCTGAGTATTGGCTTGAGTCTAAAAACGTACATAGTCTAGAATGGAGTCTAGAATCACCTGTACCCCTACATGCTTATAATACACTAGCTATTCAATCATAAAGCTTTCCTTACCCTTCTATAAAGATCAGTACAATCTATTCTATAAGAGTTGTCTTGTGTTATATCCCTTAATTAGTATAACGAAGAAGAAGATACACACATAATCAACTATACGGTCTTTACCTCTATCTAGTATATCTCTACGCAGCCTATAATAATGTATGTGTTGTCCTAAGGATCATTATATTTCATCTATAGGATGTCTCTGCTGATTACTATACTCCATCTATAGGTTATCTTTGCTTACTTATAGGATCATTATATTTCATCTATAGGTTGTCTTTGCTACTGTGGTATCTTTATACTTCATCTATAGGTTATTACTAAATTACCCATTAATACTCACCGAGCGAACCTAGGTACATACTATATTAAGGATACCTCCAAGGATGCTATATTTACCTTGCCCTGATAGTCTTATAGGTATGCTATAACACAGTGTGCCTAATATCATCCAATGCCCCTCTCAAGAGTTCCACCTGTTTCTACTAACCCTATAGACGACATCCGAGTATACCGCTAATCCTATAGACTCTTTGATACAAAGTTAAGTACTATACTATAGGTAACCTAAGGCGTTAAGCCTTTAACCTGCCCTTGTGCCAACTACATGTAATACGGTCACCCCGTTGTTATACACAGCTCTTAGAGCATATGTCTAATATCAGTATCCCATGCCACAAATGATTCCATACTACTTTGTTAACCAAGCTACCTTTGCCTTCCTAGGTCTCTTTGTTATTGTATATGTTATAAGTAAGTATGTACTACCAGCCTTCCTTGAGGTTTTTGTATCACGTGTATACATTACTAAACTATTATTAACCGGCACCTTATGCCTACTACCTGTAACTAGCTCTAATAGAGTTAACCTGCCCCCCGTGCACTACAGTCTATATTGCTTATTAACCTAATCCAAGTAGACTATTGCATATCCCTATGCTTATTCAACTATTTCATTCACCTATGGACCACTTTGAGGTACAGAGCCTAATCTCTCTTAACCTACCAATCCTAGGATACATTAATTTTAGTCTAACTAACCTTGGACTATATACACTTATTGCTATCTACCTATCTATTGCCTTTCATGTACTAGGTAATAATGATAATAAGCTTATCCCTAACTATTGGAGTATTGCTCTTGAGACAGGGTATGCTAGTGTACTTAGTCTAGTTAAATCACAAGTTGGAGCTGCTAATGAAGTTTACCTACCCTTCATCTACTCACTGTTCTTCTTTCTACTATTCGCTAACCTTAGTGGTAACGTACCTTATTCATTTACAGTGTTTACTAGTGGTATTGCCAGTATTGGTCTTAGTATGGTTATCTTTATTGGTGTTACTATCCTTGGCCTAAGTATCCATAAGGCACACTTCTTTAGCTTCTTTGTACCCTCAGGCGCTCCAGCTGCCCTTATCCCTCTACTAGTACCTATTGAGATCGTATCATATCTAGCTCGATCACTAAGTCTGGGTGTGCGACTATTCGCTAATCTAATATCAGGACACACACTAATAACTATCCTTAGTTCTTTTATAGCACCACTATTTACAGGAGGTATCCTTAGTGCTGTACTAGCTCTAGTACCCTTTACTATCTTCCTTGCTATTGTAGGTCTTGAGGTCGCAGTATCAGTTGTACAAGCTTATGTATTCTGTATCCTTACGGCTTCTTACCTTAAAGATGCTATTGATCTACATTAGTAGTCAGCTCCCTTTTATTACTATAGGTAGTTAGAGAACTTAGTTGAGTGGTTTAACGTTGTCTTTACACGACAGAAAGAGTGGTTCGATTCCATTAGTTCTTATATTATTACCTATCCTATGCCTTATTCCATCTTTAAAAATACCCTAAATGATCCCAGTAAATAAATAATATATTAGTACTCCTTAACTCTTAACTAACAACCCTTATACCAGCCATTATAACATTTATGCCTTACTACTTATATGCCGGTATTCACTACCTCTTGTTTACCTTCACTTTTAGGACGAAACTCACTTTAACCCCTCAGTATCTCTTTAATGTCTTATATATCCTAACACCATTACCTATCTAGCTATAGTAAAAGCCCGGTACGCTATAACCTTACTAGATCAACTTACTCTACACAATCAGTTATATTCCAACTATCTTGCCTTATACTCAACGAAGTTCCTATCTAACCAGTACCTACGACCTCTTATCTACTACTCTATTTCCTTTAACTCTGGATAGGGTGCCTTGACTAAGGCCTAATACCATTAATATTATATATTTAGTATATTAAGCTGTATTGTAGCCTAGTATCTTTAGTTAGAGTGGATCCCCAACCATATCTGAGCAGGCTTTTGCCCTATATTAACTGTACGTGCGGCGTTGCTCCTACTCTACACACAGACATACACCCCCTAAAATCCTTAATACTTATATTATAACTTTATTATTACTATACTTGACGAATCATTACTATTACCCCCAGTATCCTTATATTAACTAATGTTATACTTCCTTTAGTAGTAGTAGTAGTATCCTATATATATTATTTAACCCATAGCTACTTTACCCTTACCTTCTATATGGTACTGTTCATATTATAGTTATAGCTTATACGCCTTACCTTTTAATGTTATATACTAGTACTAGCGAAGAGAGTCATCAATTGGTCACAGTATCTCTTTATTATTATACTAGCTAAAACTACTTACTATTGCACTGATGATAACCTTATACTCTACACCCAAACTGAAACTGACAATAGGATCACAGTATCTAATATTAACTACACCTCTGATATACCATATTGCTCTTATGATGTCATTATACTTCTACATCTCGGATTGACGATAGTGGTCTCAGTATCTAGTCTTAAGCTAAATTAGGTACTCTATAAGGGATGATTATAAATAAAAGTACCCTATAGTAGAACTATTCTACGGTTCGCTGAGTGTTAAACTAGTCATACCCCCTATTATACAACGGTACGGTACCCTATAGATGAAACCTATGTTATTCATAACCTATAAGAGGACAACTAATATAAAGCATCCTATAGTAGAACTGGCTAACCTATTTAATATCCTATAGAAAACAGTGAGTATATATTAGACACCCTATAGTAGGAGTAGGACTATATTTGTCTTCTATGACTTACCATTGCTATTAGACACCCTATAGATGAAGTATTTATATTAAGCAAATATCCTATAGTAGGACTGGACTCCCTTAAACCTAGTCTATTAGACATCCTATAGGTGAATTACTCAAAGAGTAAACTAATACAGGTATAGGGTAGCATATTAACATATATGATTAACACCTACTTATATCCCTATTGATTTTAACTATGCCTATTGTAATAGTTCTATTATTAATAATAACTAGTTCCTATGTCCTGGAACACTATATTAACTAACATACTAACTAATGATTACTACTCTATATAATTTTCTACTTATCCTTATTGTTATGGTACCTATTCTACTATCAGTAGCCTTTATAACTATTATTGAGCGTAAAGTAATAGGGTCTATGCAACGTCGTATTGGACCTAACGTAGTTGGATACTATGGTGTACTGCAACCTTTTGCCGATGCTCTTAAACTAGTTGTAAAAGAACAAATCATCCCTAGTCAGAGTACACGTAGTCTATTCTTCCTTGCACCTATAATTAGTCTTATCTTTAGTCTACTTGGCTGAGGTATTGTACCTTTTGGAGCCGGTGTAACTATTAGTGATTTTAGCCTCGGTATCCTATATTCTCTATGTCTAAGCTCTATTGGAGTTTATGGTATCCTTTTTGCTGGGTGGTCTGCTAATAGTAAGTATGCCTTCCTAGGTAGTCTTCGTAGTACAGCCTCTATGATCTCTTATGAGCTTATTTATAGTGGTGCAGTACTAACAGTTATTCTACTATGTGGTACATTCAATATTACACAGATTATTGAGTCACAGCAAAGCGTATGGTATATTGTACCTCTACTACCTATTTTCCTTATGTTCTTCATTTCTGCACTAGCGGAGACTAACCGTACACCTTTTGATCTAACAGAGGCTGAGAGTGAACTAGTAGCTGGGTTTATAACTGAACATAGTGGTATAATCTTTGTATTCTTCTTCCTAGCTGAGTACTGTTCAATTGTACTGATGAGTTCATTTACAGCTATTCTCTTTATAGGTGGTTACCTAGCTCCAGAGGTCTTTGTTAACTATAGCTTTATCAATGTACAGAGTATTGTACTAGCTATCAAGGCAGTATCTATTATATTTGTATTTGTATGGATTCGTGCTACTCTACCCCGAGTTCGTTATGATCAGCTTATAGTATTCTGTTGAACTGGTCTACTACCAGTAATGATTGGACTACTTATTCTAGTACCTAGTATCCTAATTGCCTTTGAAATTGTATAATACTACTATTCCCTTATAGGATATATAACTACTAAAGGGGCTATCGCATAATGGTAGTGCGCTTCAGTTGCATTGATGATGTATTGGTTCAAGTCCGATTAGCTCCACAGTATTCTAATAATAAAGCTAAGTGGGAGTCGAACCCAGTATAGTAGAATTTGCAGTTCCCTAATAGTACCCACTATTACTTAACTCTTATAGTATCCTATAGATTATTACTATTAGCTTAGGACTTAAGGGAAATATTATAGACTTGCTGCCTGATCTAGCCATTGAATATATTTATCACTAGATACTGCCTCTACTTTAATAGGTATGAAGCCATGTATAACACCACAGATTTCACTACATTGTCCATAGAATACACCCTCACGTTGAGTTAGTACTGATACTTGGTTAAGTCGACCAGGCATACAATCAATTTTAAGACCAAGTGCTGGTACAGCAAAATCATGAATAACGTCAGCTCCAGTAACAATAAACCGAACATGGGTATCAACTGGAATAACTAGACTATTATCAACATCTAGTAGTCGTAGTTGTCCTTCTTCTAGATCAGTCTCAGGTACCATATAAGAGTCAAACTCAATAGCTTCACCACTATCATTAATAAAGTCACTGTACTCATAAGACCAGTACCATTGGTGACCTACTACCTTAATAGTTATACTAGGACTAATAACTTCATCCATAAGGTATAGTAGCTTAAAGCTTGGAAAGGCAATAGCAATTAGAACGAAGGCAGGAGTAACTGTCCAGATAAGTTCAATAAGTGTACCATGGTTACTATACTTGTATACTAGGTTACTTTTACTACTACTGTTGAAGTGAACAATAACACTCCCGAGTACCCATAGAACACCAAAACAGATAAGTACTAGGTAGAAAAAGATTGAATCATGTAGTTCTGTAATACCTTCATGTACTGGTGATGCACCATCCTGGAACCCTAGCTTCCAAGGTTCAGGAGAATCATTAAACAGGGGTAGTAGTATAAAAGAGGCTAGAGCACTAAGTGTACCCAGCATTATAGTAATAAGGTTATTAAGCATTATTTATTAGTTATTGTATATAGTTATATAATCATAGGCTTATAGAGAGGTACTAAGGTACTTTATAAGACAGCTCTTGGAATAAGACAGTATAGTACTGATTACCTATATTAGAGGGTTAGTAGGTAAGTTAAGGTCATACCCTAGATTGGTTAACCCTATAGAGGTAGAGATTACATGCCATCATATGTACGGAGCAGGTATACGTTTAACCCTATAGAGGGAGATATTAGTGCAGTCACCATATATATTGCTCACACGGTTCGGTTCGGTTCCCTAGTAGAGATTATTATTCAACCTATAGATGGAGTATAACCTGACCCCACGGGACGACAGATAGGTATACAGTAATCCTATAGAGGTAACCTACTACTAAATTCATATCCCCCCCGTACCCTTACCAATAGTCCTATAGAGGAGCTTAAATTACATAGCCACCCCCTTCTTTAAATCGTGTTACCTATAGTAGGAGTAGTAACCTGTTCCACTGCTAACCAGAGTCCTTAGGTAACTGTACTACAAGGTAATATATAAGAGATACCGCCTATTAACCCCCCACCAGTACATGGATACGTATAGT